TTTTATTGGTTTCTTCTTCAACAACACCCCCCCCCCCCCCTCTCTCTCTCTCTCTCTCTCTCTCTCTCTCCCCCCAATAATTGTTCGGAACATGGATTGCACCGTAAATTAATTACATTTCATAACATAATCATATATTATATATCGTGTAAAACGAGCCAAAGGAAGTACCCATTGAATAATTTATAAATTAATGTCTGGCAATCGGGAGGGTCAATTTCTGCATCTCTTTCTGATTTCTCTGTCGGATTCTTCTGCATATGTTTTTCTTGGTTTCTTCTTCAACAACCCTCTCTCTCTCTCTCTCTCTCTCTCTCTCTCTCTCTCTCTCCCTCCCCCCACTCTCTCTCTCTCTCTCCCTCCCCCACCCCCACCCCAATAATTGTTCGGAACATGGATTGCACCGTAAATTAATTACATTTCATAACATAATCATATATTATATATTATATATCGTGTAAAACGAGCCAAAGGATAATTTATAAATTAATGTCTGTCAATCGGGAGGGGATGCTTGTTTCACTTTAAATTAAACCAGAGATTGTCTTATCCAATTGGATTTTGAAAACCTAGCTTAGCTTAGCTTTAGCTTTAGCTTCTTCTTGATAATTGATGGAGGGCAAGTGCTGATGCTGCGGTGCTATTGGTCACTTGGCTTAATCTTCCCATTCTCCTCGTCATTGTCCTACTAATCTTCCCATAAAGGAGACATTGTCTTACTAATGGTCACTCTAAATTTCTGAGTTTAAAACCCAATTGTTTGTTGGGGCTTTATATTTATGTTCGTTTGAAACCAAATCCCAACCATGGTTTAACCCGCATGGCCAAGTCCCCGTAGACCCAAACCCAATCCATTTTATTCCAACGTGAGACAAACAAACACTCAGAGAAATTTCAACATAAAAATTACAAAATTAAATTTGCATGTAGTATGACTAGCATTTTTGTTAAATGAATAGTGGTGCCTCTTTGTGGTTTTTGGCCATGCTAATTGGAGTGAGGGCTGCAGGCTCATACTGAAGTCCTCCAAGTTAACAGCTGTGTCCTTTTCAGCAGCTGAAAAATGAAATGAAATTTTGTGTTGCTTTGCTATTAGAGCCACAATTGTGTATGGTCTTATCAGAGATACCATGATGGTTATGTATAGTTTATTTTTGAGAAAATTTGGTATCAATCCAAATTCCCAATTAAGAGTTGAGTTTAATTCTCGAATTTTGTGTTTTTGATCTAAGTCATCTCACATTTATGTCGCATAGAATTACATTCCTTTTTTAATTTTATGATGTAATTATATATTTTTTGTTTATAATTATTATTTTTGTTCCAATTATGCCCCCTCATGATTTAAATTGGGTAAGATTGATTTGTATCTTAATAATTAGCAATTTACAATGTGTGCAATTGAATATAAACGGCAAATACTGCAGACGTATCCCAAGAATCATGCTCTTTTCAATCCAATCTTTGCTGATTTATTGCTTTTTCAATGCAGAGTTGAAATTATTTCAAATTAGGGTTCAATATTATAGATATTACCTGAGCCCGATGGTCATATGCAATAAAGCGTTTGACATAATATTTCACAATTTGTCGTCAGTTTGCAGCACATGCCTTCCAGGTATTTTTATTATTTAGGTTTTTGATAGTTTTTGCTTACTGGTTCCTTATGCTAATATGTGCAATGTTATTTTGAGATCATAGTTTGTGATTATGTTTTGCAGGTTGCGTGGTAGTACCTGGACTGTAGATTGTTTGGTATTTGCGTGGTAGTACTTGTAATTTGGGTATCTGTATATGTACCTTGGTGTGGTGGGTACAGGGTGCGATGTATACCTGATATATAGGTAAGGTGTTGGGGAAGGATACATGTGGTGAAGGTAGTCGCCATTTTACTTCTACGGGCAATGTTTCTGTCAAACTATTTCGTGGCACTCTTAACATTGAAAGAGTAATTTAAAGAAGAGTAAATTTCTGTACACTCCCCTGGATTAGGACCACAATCGAACTTATCCCTCTAAATTAAAAAATCAATCAATTTAACATCCGAATTAATTAAAATGGCCAATTTAACCTTGTCGTTAAGTTTTGTGAATTTCAACCAAATTTTCTGTTAACTATAAGAATAAATTTGTAATTTCAAGTAAAATAAATAATCAATCAATCAAACAAAAAGAAAAATAGAATAACAGTGGCGGCACATAGGAAAAGCTTCTTCACTAATCAACAATGTCGGATGACGATTACAACGAAATGGATATGAGGTTCTAAACCCCAATATGCATTTGATACTCATAACTCAACAAGTAACTTATTAAGAACTTGTTGATGCAGATATTGTTTGTGCAAATAATCTCACGGGAGAATATTCGCTTCTAGATCCTTCAACCTTCGATCTTCCTTCTCTCTCTTCCTCGATTCCTGTAAAACAGATTGGAGTAAATAGACCACACCCGGGGGTGTTGGCCAAAGGCCCTCCGATGCCTAAGTTAGTTCGAGTGTTTGTAGAAAACAATAGCTAAGCAATGGTACGGAGTAGTGTTTATGTAGGGTGTGAACCGGGCGGCCGGAGCCGTGTGGAGAAAATATGGAGAGTGGAGAGGGAGAAAGAGCTTCGGGTATTTTTCTCGGGTATAAGGAGTAGGTTTAGATGTACCTTGAATGATGAATGAAGTCATCTATTTATAGGAGCCTCGGGGCTAGGGTTTCGTAGAGAATATGCTGAGTTTATTCTATACCCAAATTCGTAGGGATCGAGTCGGACTGAGATAATATCTGATTTAATGATATTATCTCTTTTTATGGAGATAATATCTGAATTAAATGATATTATCTCTTTTTATGAAGATAATATATGAGATAATGACATTATCTTCTCTTTATTAGGATAATATCTTAATTAATGATATTATCTTATTAAATAAAGATAATATCATTTAATTAAGATATTTATCACAATTAATTAATTGGCCAGATAAACTGGTTCAATTAATTAATTAAAAGAGATAATCTTCTTTTCCACGTGGCGTGCTGTGATTGGAGACGAAAATATCTGCTCCCACAGATATAGGAACCAGATTCGCCACGAGATCGAAATCCTCCACGACATCGGCAACCCCAACGTCGTCAAGTGCCACAGCATTTTCGACCACAACGGGGAGATCCAGGTGTTGTTCAAGTTCATGGACGGCAGCTCGTTGGAGTGCCAAAGGAGAGAAAGAGAAGGGTGGAGAGGGGAAGAGATGGGGACAGAGAAAGTCACGTTTTTTTTCTTCGTCTTTTATTTTATTTTATGATCTATTACGACAAAGACTCATTGTTCCAATCATGATGATTATTCAAAAGGTGTAACATCTTTGATACAATTTAATCGATTTAATTAAATTTAATTCTTTTGTGAAATTTCAATTTTGCCCTTGGGAGTAGGGGTACTTTGGTCACTTTAAGGAAAAAAAAATATTTATTGTATGGCATTACGTAATGGTCTAAGTTTGTGTTATTTTATGTGAGGCCCCATTTTAAGGTTAGCACAGGGCCCTCAAAATCTCAAGACCGGCCTTGGCAGAAGGGGAAGAAAGAAAAAGATAAAAGTTCCAGCACAACATGTTCTCATCCAGCAAAAGCTTTTTCCGTAGTACTTTGGATCAGTACATCAAAAATTTTATCAACAACTCAATAATGTAGATTCTTACATAATTTTCCATTTATGCCCATGTCGGTACGTAGTATTTTCAGAAGAGCATTTCATGTAATTTTAGTGTCTTCTCCACCATACAAATATGTTAAACCCTGCATATTATGTAATGTAAAGACGGTTGAGAAGAAGACATCTCAGTGCACTCTTTGAGCAAAACAGTTTCTTTACCTTGGCTTACACCACGTTCACGAGAAATTATACAATAGTACGGTACTACCACGTGGCACTGACAGGTGGTAGTACGCACCAATTGCATAATGACATGTGGCGGGACTGTCTTTTAAGAGAGAGAATGTTAACATCCAGATTTAATAGTAACACCGTTAGTAACCAACTTTCTTTTTTGTTTTCTGTTTTTGTTTTAAGAAATAAAATACAAACCCTAAAACATAATTACTTCTATCGAAATCTGCACCACCGTTCTGAGAAGAAAGAATAACCATCGTTTTGAGAAGAAGGAAGAATGGTGCAGCCATAAAACTATGTTGTTATTTTCCGATTTTTGAGAAGAAGGAAGATTGTTTTTTAGAAGAAGGAAGACTGGTGCAGCCATACCGTTCGATTGCTGCAGGTTTTTTATTTTTTGCCGATTGCTTCATGTTTTTTTCTTTCCCGACTTCTGAAGTTGTGCTTTTTTTTAATCATTTCGATTTTCTGCAGGTTTTTTTAAAAAAAATTTCGATTTCTGCAATACCATTACATGTAGTGAATTCCCACAACCGTTCGGAAAAAGACGACGCAAGATCTCATCCTCAGGCTACCAATCCTACCCATGACCGACCTTTCTCTGTCTCTCTCTCCTGTGTGCTCTTCTTTCTTTTTCTTCTTAAATAATTTTTGGCATCTTCTTTAATTCCGATTTGGGGTTTAATACATTTTGGCTTTCTTTGTCAAATCTGAATCTGACTGCAATTTCTTGTTTAAGTTTCTTCAATTTTTGTTCTTCTTTTTTTTTTTTGGCATGATTTGCTTCACTTTTGGGGTTTTGGTTGTGTTTTAAGTTGTGAGATGGAAGGGGTTTGATTTAGGTTTTTTGTAGCATTCTTCCATTTTCTTGTTGCAATTAATACATGTTGATTTTATTTCTTAATTTCTGGGGTGTAGAAGTTCATTCGATTTGGGTATGTTATTAATGGATAATACTTATTGCTCTGTTCTTTTGCTATTTGTTTTACCTTTCAATTTGAGTATATATTATTGGTGGGGGTGAGAACTTTGGATTTTAATTTTTTGGCATATGTCCTCCCCTGAAGGTAATTGTTGAACTTTGTTTTCATTTTATTTCCTTTCATTACATTTGGATTCCATGGAAGGAGAAGGAATGTTGTGGGAGTTCAAGCTTCTTCAATTCTTCAATTTACAGATTATCAATGATGCTTCGACCAGAGGAAAATGCTATGGCTTTGTTACTTTTAGGAACCCTCGGTCTGCAATTCATGCCATCAATGAGATGGATGGCAGGGTATGTTTTATTTATTTAAGTTTATACTTGAACATTTATGTAGTTATGGTGTCTGTGATCGGTTTGTTTTCTTAAAATCTTGAGTGATATTGTTGAGCTTTGAATTAGACTGTTGATGGAAGAGTTATCAGAGTAAAAGTGTGGACTAGAGGTGGAAGATTGGGTTTTGGTAGAGACAGAGAAGGTTTTGGACAGAATGTTGAGAGGGCAGGAACTGGGATAGAGATAGAGATCATGAGAGGGGTTGATCAAGAAAGGGATAGAAGGTATGACCGTGAACGTGATTATGATCAAGTAAGAGATCATTTCTTGGATAGAGACCGTCATCAAGACAGAGATTTGGAAGATGTCGAGCAAGGACAGAGCAGGAACCATGATCAGGGTTGGGAAAGAGATGGATGGTACATCTCTTTGAGCTTGTTTCTACGGGTTCAAGTTTTTCTGGCAGTTTATTGCAAGAATGGTAGACAACTATGATTTGGATTGGATTTCTTTAGTTTCGTTTTCTGGTGCCTATATTGAAATAGCTATTTGTTTAGTTTGGGTTGTTGTATAATGACATGTGCTTCTTGTCATTTGTTTGTACTTTGTACCGACTAAAATTTATGTTTAATGAAAATTTCATTCATTTTAAAAAGTTATTGGTAATTATTCAATAATTTTATAATTTTTTGGCCTTGTACTTTCTTAGTGTTGTGCTACTTCTTCTCATTGGTGAAATTGGTCCACTGTTCAATTTATAAGCCTTACAACAATTCTCTACGAGAAATTCCGTAAGAATAAGAGAAAATAATCATTGCTTTGTAATCTCAATGTTTCTTCCAACTAAAAAAAGAAAAGGTGGTAGAAGAAAAACATGATAATATAGTCCATTAACAAATGATGACCATGAAGTACATCGAGTTTGAAATAAAAAAAGTAACGACAGTAACAAACAATGACCATGAAGTACATCAAGTTTGAATCAAAATAAGTAACGATTTCCAAGCGTAAACGATTCTTGCATCTGCACCCAAAATTATACATCAAGTTTAGTTAAATAAGTAGATAAGTCAAAAGTAACTGAAAATAATTATAATTATTTTAGTCTTAGACAATACCTTAAGGAGACATTAGTTCTATGGATTATGTTATTGCTCATAAGCGTTTGAATGTGAATCCTGCATTAGTTCCCAGATAGACTGAAATTCCAATTCTGTCTCACAATATCCTTGAAGACACTTATTGAACATATGGTTAAACTCTTGATTACCGTAATGACTTCCCAAATTTCTTGCAGCATTCTGAGATATGTGCCACGAGCATAAACGATGACACACCCCAGGAAAAATGTTTTGAATGCCATTTGCCATTGCCTGACATTGATCAGTAAAAATAGTTTTTGGTTTTTGACCTCCCATTGATTCTAAAAATGTCTCAAATAACCAAATAAATGAATCAGTTTTCTCATCCAATAAGAAAGCACAACCGAATAGCACATTTTTCCAATGGTGGTTGACGCCGACAAAAGGAGCACATATCATGTTATACCTATTAGTTCGATAAGTAGTATCAAATACTACCACATCTCCAAAACAGTCATAGTCAATTCGTGACCTTCCATCTCTCCAAAAAAAGTTTGTCATTCGGTTTTCTTGATCAACTTGAACTGTGTAAAAGAACATAGGATCTTCAGCTTGTTTGCGCTTGAAAAGGTTCATCAAGCTTTGAGCATCCCCTGCTTCAATCATGGCCATTTTCTCCTTGTTCACAACATTGTAGCAATCTCTTTTTGTAAAACCAACATTTTGAGACCCTCCAACTTCTTCTGCTAAATAAGAATATGTATTTGTGGTCCTTATTCCTGCACCCACCATTGTTTTAATGACACCCAAATTTGAATCTGAAACTTTTCTATTTGATCTCAAAAATTGTCTCTCCTCTGGCTTAGCAAGTTCATGGTTATGCTCAGGAACAAAATGAGAAACTTTCCACGTATCATCTTCATCCTGGAATGCAAATCGAATGCTAGCTTCGCAACCTGTTCTTGTCTCTAATTTGCTAACCTTGCTCAATTCCGAAGGATCACTATCTAGTCGAAAACCTTCTTTTGAACAAAGATAACTAAATTGCCGCAGAACTTTTTTTGTATTGTATCTCTTTTGTCCCCTCCGAACACTAAATCCAACTCTCGTAGCATAATTGTTGTAGAGATTATAAGCTTCCTCTTCAGTGGATACAACCCTTCCAAGCAAATCTTCATCAATATTTTCTATATGGTTAACAATCATTGGATCTTTTTCTCTTACGTTTTCTTCATCACTTTCAACATCAATGAATACTAGCCACAACATCATCTTATCAAACATAGAAATAATAATAATAAATATATATTAAAAAAAAAAAAAAAAAAAGAAGAGAACAACCTGTATAACCTGAAACAATTGACAAAAAAAAAATCTGCAGCAATAGACAAAAAAAAAAGTGCAGCAATAGACTGAAAAAAAAATTCTGCAGCAATCGACAAAAAAAAAGTGCAGCAATAGACTGAAAAAGGTGCAGCAATCGACCAAAAAAAAAGTGCAGCAGTAGAAAAAAAAAAAAAAAAAAAAAAAAAAAAATAGAAAAATAAAAAATACAATAATCGAAAAAAAAGTATAAAGAAAAATAACACATTGATAGAGGATAGTTGTTTACCTCTATCCATAGCTTTGAGCTTGACCAAAACAAAAAGGCTGCAAAAGTCTTCCTTCTTTTCAGAATAGTGGCGCTTGAAAGTTGGTTACTGACGGTGGTGCAGATTTCGATAAAAGTAATTATGTTTTAGGGTTTGTATTTTATTTCTTAAAACAAAAACAGAAAACAAAAAGAAAGTTGGTTACTAACGGTGTTACTATTAAATCTGGATGTTAACATTCTCTCTCTTAAAAGACAGTCCCGCCACATGTCATTATGCAATTGGTGCGTACTACCACCTGTCAGTGCCACGTGGTAGTACCGTACTATTGTATAATTTCTCCACGTTCACACCAAAAACCACAGGTACGTGAAAAATATTGGTAATAGAGCCATAACTATCTTTGTTTAAAATTGTTAAGTTAGTAAAGTAGCTTGAGGAGTGAAGCTAATAGTTAATATTAAGAAAAATCAACCTCTCGTTTTGCATGTTTGGACCTTAGTGGACGCCTATTAGGATTAGAGAAAGATTACAACAACTAAAAAATCCAAGCCTGCATATGCAAAGATAAAATAAAAAGCTTAGAAGAACTATTACAGCAAGCAATAAATGGTAATTATTTTATTTAATGAAATATTTAAATACTAAGTATTCACTAAGTAAATAATAATTAAAACATAACTACCAAATAAAATAATCAAAAAGAGAAATCATGCTATTTAAAGAGTATAGTCGTGCGGCTATACGTTTAAAATTCTATTTCTAGGGTATATTCGCACGGCTATACGCCTAAAACACTCTATTTATAGAGTACAACCCTACGGTAATATTATTTAAATAGAACAGTATAGCCGCGTGGCGTTACACTAAAAATTTTTTTTTTCAAATTTTATTTTTATTAATTAAACAATATCTTAGCCTTATTTAAATACTTTCATTAGTAATTATGTTTTAATTATTATTTATTTAGTGAATAATTAAATATTTTAATTAACTTCATAAATTATATACAAATTTATAAATAAACCCAATCCTAGACATGTATTTATAAAAAAACCAAAACACTATTTAAACATAGAAATACACCCAAAATCAACCCCCAAAATCAACAATTGTATATTTTTTGGGTGTGTTTGTCAATGGATTTTGAGTGTGTGTAATGATGGGTTTTGGGTGTTGGGTTTTTTTATAATTTCAGCCCCCATTTTGGGTGTTTTAGTGAAACTCCCTAAATTATATTATTGACAAAATTGTAGTAATAGTCTCTCGACTAAGACCCAACTTTACTTTTCGTCCCTCAGGTCGCAAAATTGTTACAGTTGTTGTTTCAATTGCACCACTAGTCATTTCCATCAATTCTGCTTATTTTTCTGTCAAAATTGATCACATTTTAGGCACATGATGAATATTTTAGGAGTAAATAAGACTTTTACCTAACCACCACCTCCGTCTACCATCCTTTCTCCCGATTTCTCTTTCTTCCCCCTGTCTCTCTTCGAATGGACCAGGTGCACCCCAACTACCACCCGGGCAAATTAAACCTAAGCAACCCAAACCCACCATTCCCACCACCCCATACCTTGCTCCTCCTCCCTCGCTACGCACACCACCCTATCCCCAAAAATTCTCAGAGCACTCAACCTTTTCTTTTCCTCCCCAAATTCAACAATTTTTCCCAATCCAAGACAAATTCAACAATATTTTCCTAAATCCAACACAGTTCAAGGTCAAGGAGGAAGGACCCATCTAACAAACTGAGGGTTGATCTAGTTTTTTGTAGTAATAATTGGGTTTTTTTCTTCTTCTTTTCCATGGGAAGGTAGTTCAAGGCTGAAGATAAGGGGCTACTAGTTGAGAATCACTAGATCTTTCCTGCCCTCTCACTTCTGAACTTGGAGAGGCTAAGATCGAATTGGATTAATAGGAAAAGAGAGAACCCTTTCCATTTCGTTGCCTTTGCTTGCATTTTCTTTTTGCTTTGAGATCAACAACAATGATGGAATCTCAGGAAGTGGAATTTGGTCTGTCTCCTGGTGGTTTTTGGCGTCAGGGTTTTTTCTTATTTCTCTGTTTTCTATTTTGAGAACTCTTTTTCTCAACTTCTTCTTTTTCTACTTTGGCCGGGTTCTGTAGGAAGAATCAATTGAAGAAGAATCCCCTGAAAATGATGATGTTTGTTGGGTGAGCTTAATTAGGAATTTACAACTAACTTATTTTGGGATTTTTGGGTTTAGGGATTTCTTCTCGGCTAAATTATTGAAATACCCCTTGTAACTCAATTTCAGTCTCAGTTTTCTCCCTGAAACTCTAAGTGTCTCACTTTCCCCCCTGAAACTCCATATATTGTCTCACTTTGCCTAGATTCCATCCAGCCCTAACAGAAGTCGTCAAATCTTAACCCGCCAAAAATAACCTTCCCTTACAAATTCAGATACTCTCTGAATCTGCAACTACACCCAGACTCATTTGCAAAACCAAACCCCTCTCCAAACTCCAAGAAACGAAGAACAACCTCCGACAATGGCGGCAGCCCAACTCCTTCTCTCTCTCATCGTCCTCTCAGTTCTCTCTCTCTCCTTCGCCCTCCCCACCCAAACCCTCGTCAACGTCGCTGAAATCCTTTCAGATTTCGGCTACACCTCCATGGCTTTGACCATCGACCTCGCCTCTCAAACCCTCCTCCTCTCCCAATCTTTTTCTCTTACCAACACCGCTTTCTCTCACTTCGTTAGCCATCGCTGAACCTCCTGCAATTCCACATCATCCTCATTTATTTCTCTCTCCGATCCCTCAAGTCCCTACCTTTCAGCGCCAATATCTCAACTTTACTCTCTGACCGCTCTCTCTCCGTCACCACTTTGGCCTACGACCCCAAAGTCTCACTCAACAACGTCCCCATCACTGTTTCCCTAATTTTCGATGATGGGTTGTTGATAATTTTCTGAATTGACAGGTTCTTAGAATGCGCTGAGTTCGAAAGGGTGCCCCGTTATGGCTTCGCTTTCAATGGATTTTTTTTCAAGTACCAAACCATGATGACTGTGTTTGCTCCATTTGACCAAGTCTTAATGAACCAAGTTGGGAACTTGAGTGAGCAATCCTCCATCTTTCATCGCCATGTGGTGCCCTTTGGGCTTTTGTGGAGCAATTTGGTGAGTTTCAATGATGGGACGGTGTTGAGGACTAATCTGATGGGGTTTACAAACAATATCACTCGATCCCAAGACGTGTTGATGCTCAATGGTGTGTCGGTCATTTTTTCGGAAAGTGTATCACAACGGCTGGTTTTCGGTTTACGAAATCAGTGAGGTTCTTGAGGTTCCACATAGAACAGAGAGACTGTGGCTCTGTTTTGCTAGGGATAGAAAAACCTAGAAAAACCGCACATGGGCCTCATGTGTGCAAATTTGACGACTTCTGTTAGGGCTAGATGGAATCTGGGCAAAGTGAGACAATATATGGAGTTTCATGGGGGAAAGTGAGACACTTAGAGTTTCAAGGGGGAAACTGAGACTGAAATTGAGTTACAGGGGGCATTTCAATAATTTAGCCTTTCTTCTCCTTCCTTTTTCTGGGTTTTGGGTTTAGGAATTTACAAACCATGGCTTGACGGTCGGCGACAACATCAGCTTGGTTATATGAATTTCCCAATTTGCCCTTAATTTTGACAGAAAATTTAATTCGGTTGACGGAAAGACTAATGATGCAACATGAGATCTAATTGAAACATCACTGTAACAATTTTGCGACATGAGGTACGAAAAGTAAAGTTACATCTTATTTGAGGGACCATGGCTACAATTTTGCCTATATTATTTAATAAATGGTAATTATTTTATTTAATAAATTATTTAAATACTAAGTATTCACTAAGTAAATAATAATTAAAACATAAATACTAAATAAAGTAATTAAAAAAGAGAAATCAAGATTATGCTATTTAAAGGGTATAGCCGTGCAGTTATTTGTATAAAATATTGTATTTTATAGAGTATCACTGCGTGACTATACTTTTAAATTATTCTATTTAAATAGTATAGCCTTGCGGCTATACTGCTAAAATATTCTATTTATAGAGTACCGTCGCATGACTATACTCTTTAAATAAAAAAGTATAGCCCACGGAGGTACTCTTATTTAAATACTTTCATTAGTAATTATGTTTTAATTATTATTTCTTTAGTGAATGATTAAATATTTTAATTAACTTCATAAATTATATTACTTAATAATTATTTTATTTAATAAAAATTTAAGTATTAAGTATCACTAAGTAAATAATAATTAAAACATAACTATTAAATAAAGTAATTAAAAAAGAGAAATCAAGATTATGCTATTTAAAGGATATAGCTGCGCGGGTGTACTTTTAAAATATTCTATTTATAGAGTATTGCAATGCGGCTATACTTTTAAATTATTGTGCGATGACATGTAAGAATGTGAAGGTGAAAATGTCCCACGTTGGAAAGTTGAGAAATCTAACTAGGACTTATAAGGAGTTGAGTTACTCCCCCATTGCCAATTGATTTTGAGGGTTTAGAAATCTAACTAGGACTTAAAGGTGAAAATGTCCCACGTATTATATGATATGATTCAGAAACCACATTCGAAAACATCTTAAAGTGGAGCCATTGCTTAAGTGTTGTCTTCATTGGCATTGTATACAAAGTTGGGGAATCCACCATTTTGTCTCTTTTGTTTATATTGCATAGTTGATTGCTTTTTTGGTAACAAATTTCAGTTTTCAAAAAAAGACAAAACTGACAACTGAACAAAAGTTGTTTTGTAACTATTTCAATTTTTTTTTTTTGGGGTCAAATTGTAAATTTGAGATCATGAAAATGAATGTTAGAAAAAATTCAAAGTATTTTTGGGCGAATTTTTTCAAATTCAGATGAATTTTTTTTGTTGTTGTGAATTTTTTATATGGAATTCCCAAGGTTTGGATTGGGTTCATGGCCAAACTCAGAATCGAGCGGCCAGCCCAAGTCTAGAGGTCCTAAATACCGAGTTTTGGTAACTCAAAGTGTATTTATGTGTGGTGATGTGAAATTAATCAATGAAATAGGAGTGCAGAAAAATGAAACTGAAACCTCAAAACACTTTCAAGTTGTTTTAAAAAATAAGGGTGATTTTGAAAACTAAAAACGAAATCTGTTACCAAACATGTTTTCAGTTTTCCAAAAAAGTGAAAATGAAAAGGTTATCAAACAACCTCTATAATGTTGTTTTGTTGATCCTTTCAGTCAATGACTTTAGTTTCTTCACTTTATTGTTTTATATTTTTGTTCTATAATTGCTGGAGCTATTCTTTGTGGAAGTATTGAAGATGTTGAATATGGAAACTGGGCTTTGGTTTCTGTTTTTGTAGTTTACACCAGCTTGATCTCAACTCCTTCCAAGAAGTAAATTTAAATTTCAAACCAATGCTTGAAGAACTTACCCATTCTTTCATGCATTGAACAAAACTATTGAAACTTTTGTATGAGCACCCACAAAATGGTCTATTGGAGAGCTCAAGCCCCAAGGCCAGTTCTTTGAATTGTTTTGGATAAAAAAACTGTGAAACTACCAAAAGCCACATATATGAATGATTGTGGTGGTTGTTGATCAAGCCAGTTTAAACAAGAGTCTCCTTGCCACAAGTTTCCTGCAGAGTCTTTGAGATGGTTGCTTGCCAAAAGTGGACCTATTGGTAGAATATCTGCAGGCTCAAGGTCATAGGTAACCAGTCTGCTAATTTTATTGATTTGTTGTTTCTAACCATAAGTTCAAACACATTTTTCTGCAAAGCCTTGCTGCCGAGGCATGCCCACATCAAGTTTGCCGTGTTCATGCCAGGCATATCTGGTGATAATAACTTAATTGCTTGTTCCTTTGTGGGAGTTCCTGCAAAGAGAAGTATTATTGAAGTTTGTCATGGTAAAGACCTGCCGCTTATTATTCATTTCAATGTCCTTATAACATGTTCCAATTTTGTCACAGCAAAACCAACATTGCTACATATACATTCTAAGATATATTTCATTTGCTAGTGATATGATCATGCAGCTGACTAGGAAAAATTTGGAGATAGAGATTATAGTCTTACTACTCACCATCATTGCCAATAATTCCTTCATCAATCAGCTTTGGAATGCTGAATCCAAGTACCAAAAGTGCAGCCGCTCCTCGGCAGAAAGCAGCTCGCTTGAGCGCCTTTTCTCTGCTATTTCCAGGGCCCATCCAAGACTCTGATCAGCAATTACACAAGATATTGTATCCCCATTTGATCCAACAATCCGTTCAACAAGCTCCACGAATGTTCGGGGCATAACCTGCATGATTACTTCAGAAAGCTTCCCTGGTTTTTTCCTATCTTCCAATGATTCTAGCCCATCAGTAATAAATACTAGATGAACTTTACTCCCAATGTCATCATCCTCCATTGCCAATGCATTTTGCATTTGCATGTGAATATGCTCTGTATTTACAAATGTGACCTTGATGCCATGTTTGGCTAGGCATCTTGAAAGCTCCATCAAAGGAATTACATGCCCTTGTGCTGGATACGGTATCACCAAAACAAGTGGCTTGACTTCTTTCTTTCTTTCTTTCTTTCTTTTGCTATAGTTTTCAATCTTTTGTTTGTGCCATTGACTCACTTTTATGCAAAGAGTCAATAGGTCAAGGCATTGTCTTCATATGCTTTGATCTGAATTGGAATCAAATAATTCTATTCCCCACCAGTCTTTTAAATTGTTTGATTGTTATTATTATTTTTGGATTGAGCCAATAAATTGTTGATTATTTGTCCTTTCTCTCTGCTGTACGGATTTATTGGTTTTATTTTTGGCAACTTGCAGGGGTATGATTTCATTTCCCTACCTTTTGACCATATCTTACTATACAATTCTTGTTGGACCATAACGGTTTTGAGCGCGGTCTTTTGTGAAATGGGCTTGGGCCCAGCTTTCTAAAAATCTGGTCGTTTGTACAAATTTAATATGTTAAGCATCCACAGAATTTGTTATTACTTATTTAATTTGGAAAATTCTTAATATCTCAACTTTTTTCTTCCATATTTTAGTAGCCAATAATAATTTTTTGATGGGAGAAAGTAAACAAGTACAAAAATCGGATTATGTTCTAAAGGATTAGCTGAGCAATCTCTACACACAAGGTTCGGCCGTCGAACTAACCAAGTAGCCTACTCTCTCAACCACAAAGCAAGAAAGAGAACCTTTTGCCCCTCATAGAACACCCCCCAATCCCCCTAGACTTGTATCCGTAAAAACTACTTGTTACAATTTAATTAGGAAACTCTTGTCAATGTCAACGGCTAGCTTCAATGTTATATCGTTTGGCTTTAACACCTTCAAGGGACGCAAAGTTTCTTGAGGTCCTCCAACTTGACAAACCAGTTGGGTATTATCCTTGAAACATAGGGATATAGATCTTTGTATGCCTTCTCAGTTGTCGCTACCGCAACTTCAGCTGCTTGTGAGACATCTGCAATATCACACACAGCTCCATGCATGCAAATCAAGCATCAAAATTGCAAATTAAAATGTTGCAATATATATGATCAATAAGCCCCCTCTTGAATGCTTTAAGATTACCATATTATAAAACATGACACAACATTAATTAAGTAATAAACTGGCTTTAAATTAATTATGTGCTTCTTAATTAAGAAGATTAAATAAATAATTGAAATCAAATTAGACAAAACATGCATGAAATTAAAATTCGAGAGATTAATTAATTAGTTTGACTTACGTACCTTGAAGAGTCAAATCTCGAGTTGACTTGTCATTGGAGAGCTGAGCTATCATGTACATAACCGCTGCCAAAGCAGACTGAGGGCTTCTCCTTACATCAACCTCTTCCGACTTGTTCAGAGTCTCCAACACAGCCTTCATATCTTGATTCGCCATACCAATCCTGGAGCAGCACCGCCGTGAAAGATCCCCGACATTTGTAGTCTTCGAATCAACTTCTAGTATTTTCTTCAAGAGCTCTTTCATTCTGCTGATTTCTTTTCTTGAGGCACCATTGGCAACCGTCGCGATTTCCTTTAGAGTTCGGGGAAAACCCTTTTCTTGGCAAGCAAGAAAGAGGCATGCAGCCATTATAGCATCACAGTTTCTTCCCCGACAAAACTTGCGATTGTCGGCCTTCTTGTACAGCTCTTTGGCATGGTCTCGTATCGTGGCAACGAGTGCTAGCCGGTCGGCCATCACACCAAGGGACTCAAAAGCAATGTGGAGAGACTTGTCTGGGTTTTGGAGAGTCTTGTGGAGTCGAGGAAGAGCACAAGAAACAGCCTTCTTGTTGTCGTTCGAAACGTTAACGGTAAGAACACCATTGTCCGTTATAGGGTCGGAGCGAGCGCGTTCTTCAAGAACCAGTCCGCATTCGGTGCAGATTGTGTCACCGGACCGGTGGTCGAGCACAACGTCTGTGTATGCTTTGCAGTCTGAACAAAACCCACTGTCGTTTTCCATGGTAGAGAGAGAGAGAGAGGCTATAGCTTTTGTTGAAGTCTTGTTTGAGATTTGTGTATATTGTGTCGGGCTTCTAATGGCTTTTCTTGAAGTCTTGTTTGAGATTTGTGTGTATTGTGCTTCAAATGGGTTGAAAGATACGTTTTTATATGGGATGTGAAGATTAATTTTAGTCTCGTAGTGTTCTCTCTTTCTATAAGCCTTGCTACAAAAACAAGGACTTCCTGGCCAAGTTATTACAATCGGCAAAATGGACTTCCAGGCCATGGTGATTCGGGTCCCACATTCCACTTGGCAAAAGGTCCTAAACCCACATGAAGATTGTTAAAATGAGAGGGAAATGATTTTTCATAAAACAAAAACACCAAGGACTTATGGGGGAGAAGCACATATAACACACTTTTCCATATAATCATTTAAAAGTGATTCTAGGGAGAAGCACTTCTCATAAGCTTCTTCTTAAAATCACTTAAAACCACTTGAAGTGATTATATGAAGAAGTAATTTATATATATATATATATATATATATATATTTGAACTCACAATGCATACCAAAGTAACCAAAATTACCAAAATATTATATATTGCATATATAAAAAAATCTGTACAACTTTTTTCTTTTTGATAATCCACACATAAATTGGAAGATTTATTAAACCAAATAGAGATTATAAATAAAATTTCACAACTCAAACAAGTGCGTGCCGACAATCTCCAAGGCTACCGACAAGTGCGTGACGTTCTTCAAAGCTTTGAAAGGGGGCAAACATCATATCGCATGGACTCCCGAATGCGACCAGGCATTTCAAAACTTGAAGAACTACATGAGCTAGGCACCGCTATTATCGAAACCGCTCCCGGGTGAAGTCCTCCTCCTATACCTCTCGGTACCAACACTGCCGTTAGCTCAGTGTTGATACGGAAGCCAGAGAAAGCAGAGCTACCGATTTTCTATGTCAGCAAGGCACTCCAGAGTGCGGAGCTTCGGTACCCACCCTTAGAGCAGCTAGCACTGGCCCTGGTCGTCTCGGCGCGAAGGCTTCGCCCATACTTCCAGGCGCACGAGATCACTGTTCTGACAAACCAGCCTCTTCGGCAGGTACTCCAAAAGCAAGAAACGTCGGGCCGATTGGTCAAATGGGCAATCGAGTTGGGAGAATTTGACATACAGTTCAGGCCGAGGCCTGCGGAAAAAGGTCAGGCCGTTGCCGACTTCATCTCCGAGCTCACACCTCCTGCGCTATCGGAACCGTCATCACCGAACGCTATCCTTACTGCACCGGAGAAAATTGATACCGAACGTTTCGACACTTCCGTTCCTCTCTGGATCTGCATGTGGACGGCTCGGCAAACCAGCAAGGCTGTGGTGCCGGCTTGGTGTTAACCACTCCGGACGGTAGCAAAGTCGAGTATGCCCTCCGATTCAACTTCCGGACCTCCAATAACGAGGCAGAGTATGAGGCTCTCCTGGCCGGCCTTCGGCTAGCCAAGAGCATGACGCGAGGCAGATCAGCATTCACAGTGACTCCCATCTCATAGTGAATCAGATAACGGCAGACTTCGCAGCGAAGGATGCCTTATGTCAGCCTACCTATTGGCAGCTCACCAACTACTAAAAAATTTCAGGCTTACGAGATACGGCAGATCCCCAGGTCAGAAAACAGCCACGCCGATGCGCTCTCACGATTAGCTTCGGCAATAAATGACAAGATCGGAAGGAAGGTACCGGTGGAGATATTATCCCAACCAAGCACGACAGCTGCTGAGGTGTGTACCGTTCGGTACGAGGACACATGGATGTCTTCGATCTATGCCTTCCTGACAACCGGAACCCTTCCTACCGATAAGTCCCAGGCTCGGAAACTCCGTTACCGATCGGCAAGATACACAGTCATCAACGATGTTCTGTACAAGCGAGGGCTACACGACGCCGTATCTAAAATGCCTTACCAAGGAGCAGGGAGGGACTACATCCTTCGGGAGGTCCACAGCGGAGTCTGTGGCGACCATTCGGGATCCCGATCGCTCGCACACAAGGTCTTCCGACAGGGTATTTCTGGCCGACTCTGCACCAAGATGCGAACATATTGGTCAGGAAGTGTGACAAATGCCAGCGGCTCGGTAGTGTCCCTCATATTCCTGCCGAGCCGCTATAACCGATCGTGAGCCCGTGGCCATTCGCCCAATGGGGGTTAGATCTAATTGGTCCGATGCCATAGGGCAAGGGTCAGGTCAAATATGCTGTAGTTGCTGTATACTATTTCACCAAATGGGTAGAAGCCAAAGCCTTAGCGACAATAACGGCAGCCAAAATCGAAGATTTCGTCTAGACGAACATTTGTTGCCGATTCGGCATCCCCTATGCCATCGTCACGGATAACGGCAGGCAGTTTGATTCGGAAGTCTTCAGAGAATTCTGCACCCGACTCAAGATCAACATGTTCTTTGCTTCGCCAGCTCACCCCCAATCGAACGGACAGGTCGAAGCAATGAATAAAATTGTCAAGAAGCTATTGAAACGGCAGCTTGACAAAGCCAAAGGAGCCTGGTCGGAAAAACTTCCAGAGGCGTTATGGGCCATCCGGACATCTTATCGAACGGCAACTGGGGAAACACCGTTCTCCATGGCTTTCGGCTCGGAAGCGGTAGTCCCAGTAGAAATCGAAGAGCCTTCCTACCGAACGGAAGCTTTCACACCGAAAGCGAATGAGGAAGCGCTCGCCTTGAGCCTCGACCTGCTCGAAGAACGCCGAGCACAAGCCAACCTTCGGAACGAAGCTTACAAGCAACGTGTCTCTCGGTACTATGACTCCAGGGTCAGATCCCGCTCTTTCCGAATCGGAGATTAGGTCATGCGAAAAGTCTCTTTGGCAACCAAGAATCCTATGGAAGGAACCCTCAGAGCTTCCTGGGAAGGACCCTACGAAATCATCGGTATCCAGCGATCGGGGACTTATCGACTCAGAGACTCCAACGGAAAGACCCTCGGTCATCCTTGGAATGTAGAGCATTTGAAATATTATTTTAAATAAAGTCACCTAGCCTACGGCAGGGTTACAGCAGGGTCCCAAAAGCCTTCGGCTTCTCTACGTTCACAGCCTTTGGCAGTATAGCGTTCCCTAGTCTACGGCGGGTTCTTAATTGTAAAACGCACTCCAAATTGTATCTTTGCCTTCGGTAGTTTATCAATGAAAGGGCCTTCAGCTCTTATATTCAAAACCTTTGTTGTACCCTTTAAGCTCTTTTTCATTTAAAAAAAAAAAAAAAAAAGATAGGGACCATCGGTCGCAGTAAACTACGCATTTGGCATCGCTATTAGCCTACCAATTGAAGGACAACTTGAAAGGATCACCTTAGTTACCCATTGGACCAAAGGTTTCGGCTTTTAATAGCCTTCGATACTTAAAGGCCGTTACTTAGGTTTCAGCTTTTTAATAGCCTTCGGTACTTAAAGGCCGTTACTTAGCCTTCGGCAAGTACGCCTGTTGTTCTCAAATCCCTACAAGTTGAAATTTTGCTTGAAAGGAAACTTTATTGGCCAACGGCTAGTGACCCTTTTTAATAGCCCTCGGCATATGAAAAGAAATTTTCCTAAGTGTCTTACCGATTCAAAAATAAGATGCAATCAAGTTGAAATTAAAAACAACTTCGATTAAAATATGCCCACGGCATCAAAGGTTCAATCAAAAGATGCCCACAGCATCAAGATTACATCAAAATTACATGAAAAAATGCCCTCGGCATTAAGTTACATAAGATAATGGCGGGAAATGAGAAGAAGCTTTTGGAGAAGATTGTCGCCCTGCCGTTCGAGATAGGACTATACCTTTGAGTATCATTGCAGAGCGTACGAGGCTTTCTGTCAGGTGGCGGCCTCATCGGCTTCGGCAGCAACCCCATCGCCTTCGGCAGTACCCCCTTCGGGATCGGCTGGGGCCTCCTCTGTGGTGTCCTTTCCCTCGTACTCCTCGACTATTTCTTCAGTTATACCTTCAGGAAGAGGGGGAGGATCGGCAATGAAGTTGAGGTTGAGCTTTTTCCTGGGGTTGTACCGCTTGAAACGGTAGAGTAGGTCCGCCATTTCCAAGCCTACTTCCTTGTCAAGCAAAGTAGAAAACTCGGTAGACCGACGGTAGCCCCGTATCGCCTCCTGGACGGCAGCCTCGACCTCGGAAGCCCTGACCCGCTCAGACTCCTCAAAAGCCACCTGGATCGCCTCATTCGACTCCAGAGCCTCCTTTGCCGTCAGCTGCGCCGCCTCCAAGTCTGCTGACATCTCGCCGAGCTTGGCTTGATAAACTTTTACCTGCCGTTCGGCAGCCTGCATGTCCTTCGCCAAGTTCGCCTGAGCTTGGATGGCTTTGCCGGCCTTGACAACCTTCGCTCTGCCGTCTTCGTATGCCTTCTTCGCCTTTTCGGCAGCATTAATGGCTCGCTTTACGCAAAGCCACATATCCATTGAGGCCTGAACGACAAAGGAAAATGTTAGACGGAAAGGGAAACAAACAGCAGGAAATTGCTAAAAACATTAAGCACTTACCGAAGCTTGAAGACGGAAGGCGCGGCCTGCCTCCTCCCGAAGGAGCTTCTTCGGAAGATCCTCGATCTCGGACAACTCCATTTGTGAACCGAGGATCATGTGGTTCACAAACTGGACCGTCTTCGAAGGGCAGGCCAGGGTGACAGCTTCGGGAGGCGCCTCGTCGTCATCAGCAGAGAAGATGGCCCAAGCAAGCTCGGCTTGTCGCCCGCGTTTTGGAGCGGGGTCGGCATCAAGATCCACCGTGAACGGTCTTTTGCCTGCAGCTTTGGAGGAGGTACCCTCGGCAGTAGTGCCTCGGCTGGGGGACGGACCAGCTTCGGCATGCGCCGATTCAGCGTTCATCTGACGACGACGCTCGTTGAGGGTTAAGTCATCAGGGTCCACCCCTCCTGAAGACGCCGGTGCCGTTCCGGCCTGCCGCCCTTTCTTCTTCCCCTGCATGCAGAGCATGAGGCGCCTCTTTGAGGACTCGTTCATCCTCTTTGCCTCGGCAGTTTTCCTCTCTTCGATCACTGCGAGAAGAAACCGGTTAGATTTCCCATTTACGTCATAAACTATCGAAATGGGTTAAGTATGCTTACTCTCGGCAGGGCTGATGAGTTGAGCTTTGATAAGATTGGTGGTGAAGAGAAACTTCGGATAAACCCTCTCCACGGCAGGGACCTTCAGCCTCACCCTTTCGATCTGCCGATCTCCGCTTGTGTAGCGCTCGGCTGCTTCAACTTGCCTGCACAAAGGTAAAACGGAATTAACATTACCGAAGGAAGACACGATCTAGGAGTCCTACCGAACGGTAGGATAGCCTACCGGCAATTTGGAACGTGGTGGGAATGTGGAAACGGACGGGATGTCCCGAGGGCGACTCCCAGTCACCGGACAAAAGCACCCGCCGTTTCCTCCACGTCTTCTGGGAGGTTGGCACAGCGTTGACAAAATGGCCATGCTCGGTAGCCTTCAAGCAGTTAGCCTGAACCCAGCCCCCGTGATCGGCACACTTCGACTTCGTGACGCTGTACAGATGGTAGAACTGCTCGTACGAAGGCTCTCCCTCGCCCAGCAATGCCGAAGGCTATAACCATACCCATTAGCGCCACCCAGAAGTTGGGATTGAACTGGCCGGGAGCATAGCCTATCTGCGCCAGGATCCTCTGAACGGCGGGCTGCAGAGGGAGCCTCACCCCTTGCAGAAGTACGTCCGTGAAAAAGACGACTTCGCCATCCTTCGGACTGCTTAGAGATTCGGTAGGATTTGGGATCCTCATGCCTACCGAATCTGGTATGAAGTACTCAGCACGAAACCTCGCAATCTCCCTCTCGGTGATTCTGTTAGGCTCCAGATAATCTACGCCGAAGACGAGCTTCTTCGGAACCCCCATCGGCACCCTAGGATTGCTGGGATAGACTACGGAAACCCTCGGCTGGGAAGATGGTTTGGCAGCTGACTCACCACGGCCGGAAGTGGAGGCCTCTGACTGGCGACTACCGTTCGCCTCCCCAGGGGTGCCTAGACCCACATGGCGGCCGTCGCTATAGACAATGGACAACGGCACCGGAGTGGTCATTAGCCCCTTTCCGATGCCATGTATAGGGACGGAGCTGGGCCCTTCACCGAGTATCTCGACATCGGTATCACTTCCATCCTCGGCATCAGGCCCTGCCGCTTCAACATCGGAGTCAAAGAGACCTTCCGATGACTCCTCATCGAACGCGTTGGGCTCATGCTTGGAGAATGACTCGCTATCAGACATCTACAAAAACAGGGAAGAAAGGAAACTAAGGCTCATGCCGGATACTATCCTACCGATCCCTACATCACTACCTATGACGACCAGACTATCGAATGGAACCCTATGGTCAGTCTAGTTCAAACCAAGGAAGGACGTAACTCTTGAGGTATGCAAAGAGAGAAAAGTAGGGGTGCCGAACGGTACCTTAGTTCAAATTCCGAAAATGAACGCGGACTGTGCTTCAGAACGTCTGAACACAAATCGCCTTTCCTACCGTTTGTAGTGCCGGAAATCGCCTGGTTGCCGTTAGCACTCGTCGAAAATCGCCTGGAATACCGGAAGCTCTCGTCGGAAATCGCCTCAACAGAGCTCTCGCTTCTCAACAAGTCCAAAGTGATTTCGCCCCCCGGAGTCACCTCTATTTATAGGGCGAGCACTCGAAACGGCACACCTCGAGAAGCCAAACGGCGCATTAATACGCCGCGCACCATTATTGCTTCCACCACGTGTCGCTCATCCTATGGGGGACTGACGGCACGCGGGGCGCGGAAGTCGAAGCGCTCAGACGTCTCTTCATCCCGTCCGCTCGACGCGACTTTCTGACTACGCCAACGTCAGCCTCTGAACGAATAATGTCGGAAGGGCCAAAGTTGAGCCCCTTTCCTCAACTGGACTATCAAACGGTAGGGCCACATTTCTTTCCGAAGACGACTTCAAATCCCCTTCCGAGAACTTTCGCAAGAGGACTTGGGGGACTCCTGTTTATACCAAAATGAATAGCCATGAATATCGGACACGTGGACTAAACCAGGGCCATGGGTGCCTTCGGCATCCACCTTCAGTACCAAGCCTACCGATCGCGACATTAGGGCAACTTCACCCCTTCGACACGTGGCAGTCCCACATCGAAATTCTAAACAAATTGCACACCTCCCAAGGCCTATAAAGGAGGACAACCATCCCAGCTTGGAGGTAATGAATCAGAACTTACGGCATACTGCCTATTGATCTGTAGTTCAAACTTATTAAACCCGTACTTACTTAAGCATCGGAGAGCCTTCGGCCGGTACCACACCGGTGCCCTAGGACTTACCGTGTGTTTGCTATCTTACAGATTGGACACACTGCCGAGGACATCAGATACCGAAGGAAACATAATCACTAAGTTGCGCGGGAAAGTGCCGAACCATTTTTCTGCGTCAACACATGTCTTATATAGTCTATGGATAACAAGATCTTGAAGTGTATTAGGGAGTTACAATAGTATTTCAATTACAATAGTTAATCCTACTAATGATGGGAAATGGTCAGTTGTCAATTACATTGTTATTAGGCCATAACTCTATATTTATGTTTATGATAATGACTTGCTATAACTGTAGATTATTCTCTACAGACTTGTATATATATACATATATATATATAGTATAATGATCATATGAATAATATAAGGGAAAATCAGTTTCTACATGGTATCAAAGCTAATGGCTAACGCCGATTAGCGATACTCCAATTGCCAACATTGAGGGTCATTGGCGCTCCACACCAATTAAGGTGTTTGTTTCTGTATAGTCCTTTTTCCTATCCTCTTCTCAAAGATGAATATTGTTTTTATTTTCCTCTCTTCCACAGCTCAGTGCCTCTTCCACTCCTCAATACCTAGTCCTACTCCTTATCCAAGTCAGTCTCTTGATATCATAGCCAGATCTCTGTTTTCCCTCAAAGACCACACCTCTCTATCGTTGTTTCCCTCTTTCTCTTGAAATCTCTATCCACTTCTTTGTCTCCATCTCGCCATCTCTCTTGCCGAGCCGTCTCTCTTCCCTCTGCGAGCCTCGTCAACGCTCACCGAGCCTTATCCTAGTCTGGGATCGTGGTTTCTCTCTCCCGTAAATTTATGATGGTTTCATTATCATGGTTTTCATATTTTTCCTCTTATTTGTTGATGCTACCCATCATCGTTCACAGAGTCGTCTCTCTTTCCTCCGTGAGCCTCGTCAACGCTTGTCGAGCCTTCTCTGCCATGCTACACTACCACTATTCCCTTTGCATAGCCCTTGTTTCTTCCTTTGTGTTGCCGACTTGGTATCGGTCACTCAAGCCTTATCATTGTGTTGCCGACTTGGTATCTCTGTGTTGCTGCTTTGGTATTGGCCTCTCATGCTCTATCTCTACTCAATAGGTGTTCTCCTCCCATCTTAAGCCCAATCTCTTTCTTTGATTTTACTATTGGTCCCGTCTTCTTCGCTGCCCTTTTGCGCTGCCTTTCTTCTTCTCTGTTACTGGTATTGTCTTCTTTTCTTTATAATTCTTTTATATTACTGGGGTATTTTCTTCTCTTATTTTCAATTGTGTTTTCTCTCTCCCCATCATGGGTTGTTTCTGGCATCTTGAGTTTCCTTCCTTCCATGAGCCCATGCACTCCTTTGCATCTTTTGTTCTCTCTCCCTCTCTTGACTACTTTCTCCTTTTGATGGGTGTTTACTTTTCTCCTCTTTTTCTCTTCTTTTTCCATTTTTATTTTGAAAGGATTTTCTCTCTATTTGTTTTGCCCACATTCTCTTTTCATTTCTCTGTCTCACTTGGTTTCCTTCTTTAATTCTTATTATTGTTTTTTGGGTCAATAATCCCTCTTTATTTTAATCTCTATATGCTCTTGTGATGATCTTTTCTTTATTACTTCTCTGTTCCCATTTGGTTTTCTTCCCCACACCTTATTTTATTGTTTCTATGGTGCTTTGAAATTTAAACTTGCCCATGAGGCTCTTTTTCTTTTCTAAAGTTGGTTTCATCTTTCTATCCTCTACTGCTATGCCGCACCCTTTCTTAACCCCATATTCCCTTCAAATATTCCTTCTGCTCTCTCTGCATGCATCCCTTTCTGCTTATCCCTTTCTGCTTACCATGTGATGAATTTCTTTTGTTTCTACTTCCTCTCTTCCTATGGGTGTAACTTTTAAAAAAATATATATATTTTGGGCAACTTTTGTTTTTCTACATGGCTACTTCTTTTCCTCACTTACCGCATGCTCTTTAAACCCACTTGATTCCTAGGCTAAGAAGCATGGATACGCCAATTTAGTGGCGTATCCCGTATTGGATACTCGTTTGGATACGATACGCTTCGGATACGGTCCGATACGCATTGGATACGTATAGCAGTCAATGGATACGTCAGTTGACTAACGGATACGAGTATCCGACATTCCAGACACGAGTATCTGACTTTTTCGGATACGAACCTCCGGGCGAAGTTTGCCGTTGAGGAGCCCCTGGGTGCTGCGTGTGAAGAGGAGGGAGGGGGAAGAAGAAGAAGAAGATGTCAGACTGGAGGGAGGTAGAGAGGGAGGGAGAGAGAGAGAAGAAGAAGATGTCAGACTGCAGGGGGAGAGAGACAGAGAGACAGAGAGGGAGAGAAGAAGAAGATGTCAGACTGATCTCAAGTGACGACGTCGTTTGCTAAAACAGGATTTGTAATATATATATATATATGTATATATATATTTTTTCATAGATCTGTTTATGGGTTTGGGTCTTAAACAAATGGGCTTTGGGTAATGATATATTTGGGTGAAAAAAGCTATAGATGCCTAAAAATATAAAGAATCAGAAAAGAAAGCCCAAAATGCTACACTATATTTATAATTTATAATTTATAATCTATTTAAAATATATTTTAGGTTATATATATTTATTAATATATATTTATAATAGCCGTATCCATGACATATCGTATCCTAATTTTTGAAAATTTGCCGTATCCCCGTGTCGTGTCGTGTCGTATCACCGTATCCGTATCCGTGTCCGTGCTTCTTAGTTTCCTAGGTAGAGTTATGTTTCTCAGGTGCCTAAAGTTGTTTCCTAGGTCCATTTGACTTGTATGTCAGCCCGTCATTTTATTCCTTCCTTCTATGAGCCCATGCGCTCCTTCACTTCCTGCATTTCAATGGGCATTATGTTTACTTTGTTTCTCTCATGTCGCTGTTGCAACTCTGGAGATTGGAGTTCTTCTTTTTGGTTCCCCTTACTAAACTACTACAACCGACTGCTGTCGCCATATCCATTACTATGTAGTTTCTTCATTCAAATCTTGCTAGTGCAATTTCTGTAGACTAATTTGCAGTTTCTGCGACTCAGCTCCACTTAATTCAATGATTTTATTCCTTCAGCGACAATTGTGATCAAAATCATTCTTTCCCTCATGAGCTGGTCAATGTATCAGTCGGACAACCTTCTGGGGCTTTTCATCTTGGCTAATAGGTTTCTTCCGCATCATGCTACTCAAAGATGATCTCTTGGCCATTCTCAAACTTCTCATACGTTTGAAACCCTAATATAACTTCAAGAATCGAAATTCGGTTATCAAGAAATGTTGTCCAAACATGCAAAACAGTGAATAAAACTTTTTCAGACCTTGGGGCTACGTTTTAGGGCATATTATATAAACTGAAATAGAAAATTTTACACTGCAGTAAAAAAAAGCTTGAAAGTTTCCCGATGTTTTTTTTTCCTTTTCTTTTAATTATTGCATTAGTACATCAGCTGAGGTCTTGGTCTTACATTACTGATACTTGAACAGTGGCACATGTCCTGTGTTGCCTTTTTAACTTTTTATTAATTCCAAAGAAAAGATAGGTGACTTGCCTATGTCTTCATCCATTCAATAATGTTCTTCAAGATCCTGTGAGATTGGCCACCTTCTTTGACACTGGTCATGCCCATTTCCTTCAGTTTGGAAGCTCTTGCTTTGAAGTTTTCATCACCAAGCAGTTGTTCCACCTTGCTCTTGATTTCTCCTTGTGGTATGATCCCATTTTCATTCTTTTTCAACTTCAACCCAACCTTCCAGACATCACAAATGTAGCTCTCATTAAGGAACTGGTCACAAAAGTATGGCCAGCACAAGAAAGGAACTCCATTGCTTAGACCTTCTATTGTAGAGTTCCAACCACAGTGGCTTAAGAAGCAAGCAATGGAAGGATGAGCTAGAACCTTTTGTTGAGGTGCCCAACCAACCATCAGACCGCAAGAGGCCACACGGTCTTGATATCCTTCTGGGTAGGGATCAGATGTTTTGTCAGTGATATCTGGCCTCACAACCCAGAGGAATGACCTTTGGGACAGCTCAAGAGCCAGAGCCAGTTCTTGGAATTGTGTTTGATCACAAACTGTGGTGCTGCCAAATGCAACATAGATGACTGAGCATGGTGGCTGTTGATCCAGCCACTGTAAGCAAGTTGAGTCTTGTGGCCAGAAGTAGCATGCTGAGTTTCCAAGCCGGCTGCTTGCCAGAAGCGGGCCTATTGGTAAAATCTCTGGTGCCATGGTGAATGCTGCTGGCTCAAGTTCGTATGCTGAGTTGCAAACAATCCACTCTGCCAATTTCGCAGCCTTGTTATTTCTTACCATAAGTTGAAATACTATCTTCTGCTCGGTCAAGTCACCCCATGCATGCCCATAGAAATTCTGTAGTTTTCATGGTGGGCATGTCCGGTGCCAACTGAATCATCTGGCTTCTTGAAACAGTTCCTGCCAAAAGTGAATGACTATGAAAAGAAAGGACAATAACAGAACTCAAGAACTTGTTGAACTAAAATACTGTTAAATTTCGCCCACTACTACCAACATCGATATTGTCCCCAACTTAACTATGATATTCGGCAGGTGTGGGGTTTTATACAAAAGCCCTCAATTCTGTTAGTATTTAGTAGTGTAACTATTCATTGTATGGTATATTAGATTTTGTCAAGTTTCCCATGTGGGATTTCATATTCTTCAACCAATACTACATAAGAGTGTTGCATAGTATTTGCATGATAGAGGATCTTACCATCGTCGTTGATGATTCCTTGATGAATTAACTTTGGGATAGAGAATTGCAAAGCCAAAATTGCAGCTGGTCCAGGGAAGAAGGCAACTCGCCTGATATTCAGTTTCTCTGCCACTTCCAGAGCCCACCCGGCACTCTCATCAGCAATGACACAAGTGACTTTGTCACCTTCCCCTTGGTTGATCTTCTCTATCAGCTCCTCCAACTTCCCAGGCATGACTCTTTGCGTTGCTTCACAAAACTTTCCTACCTCATGCCTGGCCTCCCAGGGCTCTAAGCCATCTGGAAGTGAAACTAGGCGAATACGATCCGATAACTGACTTTCATCGGCAGCCAAGGCATTCACGACTCGCTTGTGGTTGTAGTCTGTGTTCACAAATGTGACTGTGAAGCCATGGTTAACTAAGCATTGTGACAGCTCCATCAAGGGAATCACATGACCTTGTGTTGGAAAAGGAACAGCCAATATATGTGGGTTGCTCATTTTTGTTCTTGATTTTTCCTTTTTCCACTTTAAGATGTTTTCGAATGTGGTTTCTGAATCGCATTATATATACAAGAGCTTTGGAGCACTGGTCTTATTTGAATCCATAAAGGAAATTGTAATTGTATTTCTCAATAGTGAATCAATATCCAAATTGTGTACGTGGCCGGTCTTGAGATTTTGAGGGCCCTGTGCTAACCTTAAAATGGGGCCTCACATAAAATAACACAAACTTAGACCATTACGTAATGCCATACAATAAATGTTTTTTTTCCTTAAAGTGACCAAAGTACCCCTACTCCCAAGGGCAAAATTGAAATTTCACAAAAGAATTAAATTTAATTAAATCGATTAAATTGTATCAAAGATGTTACACCTTTTGAATAATCACCATGATTGGGACAATGAGTCTTTGTCGTAATAGATCATATTCAAATATTAAATATTTTTTAACACCTAATTTATTTTGTATCAATATTCCAAGAACATCATTAATTGGATGCAACTTTTTTTATTGAGTTAGTTGGATGCATTATTTTTGCAAAAATAAATATCTTTTTAACACCTAATTTATTTTGTATCATATTCTAAGAACAATGACGAGGACATTGTCTTACTAATGGTCACTCTAAATTTCTGAGTTTGAAACCCAATTGTTTGTTGGGGCTTTATATTTATGTTCGTTTGAAACCAAATCCCACCATGGTTTAACCCGCATGGCCAAGTCCCCGTAGACCCAAACCCAATCCATTTTATTCCAACGTGAGACAAACAAACACTCAGAGAAATTTCAACATAAAAATTACAAAATTAAATTTGCATGTAGTATGACTAGCATTTTTGAGTGGTGCCTCTTTGTGGTTTTTGGTCATGCTAATTGGAGTGAGGGCTGCAGGCTCATATTGAAGTCCTCCAGGTTAACAGCTATGTCCTTTTCAGCAGCTGAAAAATGAAATGAAATTTTGTGTTGCTTTGCTATTAGAGCCACAATTGTGTATGGTCTTATCAGAGATACCATGATGGTTATGTATAGTTTATTTTTGAGAAAATTTGGTATCAATCCAAATTCCCAATTAAGAGTTGAGTTTAATTCTTGAATTTGGTATCGAGCCACAATTTTGTGTTGTATTACGCATGAACCTTGCGTCAGTGTGGGCTTTCATTTCCCTCACACCTCTTGTAGTTTTGGTACCTTTTGATTGGGAGAGGGGTAGAAGGCAGGGGCAGTCTTGAGGGTGTGCAAGTGGTGCCACCCTTGAAGGGCTAATCTGTTTTAGTATTTGAAGGGCGTGGTGGAGCTGATAATAACATATCATATATGTATCTTTAAAGTTGTTGGCTTTGAATAAACCAAACACTTGAAGGACTAATCTGTTTTAGTATTTGAAGGGCGTAGTGGAGCTGATAATAACACATCCATAATTACACACTGCGATAGACTTATTCCGAAACATAAGTCTATTGTATGCATGTTGATTAGTTTTTAATATTCTTTATTTTCGTCTTCTTTTTTTTTGGGTTTTTTTTTTTTTGTTTAATTTTGTTGTTGTTGTTGTAAATGCATATCCAATTTGCTGCCTGAGGATTCCAAAGAAGATAGTAGCAGGAGAGCATAAAATTGCTGCATGAGGAGGTTCATGTACAAGCAGTAGCTAAAAGGATTTTAATTGTCATGAATTTTTTGTTTTTTGTTTTCCTTTTTCAATGGTTGCAATACTCTAGCTTCAATTACTATATTTTGGTGTATCAAGTTTTGTTTTAAATAAAAACTTATTCAATTGCATCTGTTCCAAATTCGGTTGAATGGTTAACTATGATAATTGTTATCAATAAATACAGAGAGAAATTTCAATTAGTTCTTGCATTTGTTTTAAATTCTTTTCAATATGATCAACTACGATAATTGATTTATTTTTATAAAGGTTATCAATGAATACAATACAACATATATGTTACCAAATTATTGAAAAAAAGAACCTTTAAGGACAATTTGAACTAAAAATTAAAAACAGGAAAAAGCGTTTTACCCAAGCTAATAAAGGTATTTCAAATTATGGGGAAAAACAAGGAAAATTTTCAATTCCATCAAACAGAAAATTCGGACAAAAAAAAACACACACACACACACAAAGAATCCCCCTAGCTCCTAAAGCTCATTAGACTAGCCTCTCTGTCTTACCCAATTCGATTTTGAAAAGCTCGCTTAGCTTAGCTTTAGCTTCTTCTTGACAATTGATTGAGGGCAAGTGTTGATGCTGCGGTGCTATTGGTCACTTGGCTTAATCTTCCCATCCTCCTCGTCATTGTCCTACGAATGGTCACATCACCGCATTAAGGAGACATACTTTTGTACTAATTGGACTGATTAACTCGTCAAGTCCACTGCCTACGTACCCAGAAGATTAAAGAAAATTAAATAATTAACTTACTTTTCAAAAACAACTATGTTGCCAACTGTGGAAGCTCCGATATGCTATTAGTTGTGCAAAAGTTGGGGAATCACATGGTCTTGTAATATTCTTAATTAAAGGGAGTGGGAGACCTGATGAACTGATAATTGAACTTTTTTTGGTGGAGTTTTAGTGTAGTACAATTATAGTGAGAAAAAACTAATTTAATACCTTTAAAGTAAACAAAATAAAAAGTAAAACTCCCATCAAGCAGCAGCCACCTCCCTTCCCAACCCAGCCCTTATACTGCCTGCCAATTGCTGCTGCCCCTTACTAAGCGGTTAACATTCTTTTAGTTGTGTGTAAATGTACAGATACTAAATGTAGAGGCTCGATATCTCACTTGACCACAATGGTCTAAATTTGAGGTGATAATGGTAAAATTCTTCCTTCAATTTATCATTGCTTTTGATAATTTATTCCACAAAACAAGAATTACCAAAATAAAGGCCATCATTACTTTACTTCTTCTTTCCACGGTCAATTTCTGCATCTCTTTCTGATTTCTCTATCGGATTCTTCTGCATATGTTTTTATTGGTTTCTTCTTCAACAACTCTCCCCCCCCCCCCCCCCCCCCTCTCTCTCTCTCTCTCTCTCTCCCAATAATTGTTCGGAGCATGGATTGCACCATAAATTAATTACATTTCATAACATAATCATATATTATATATGGGTAATGCTAGGGAGACCATCTATGTGTACCATATTTGTGTACCAATTGATGATGTGGCTGTTGAGTTGTCGATACCACATCATTAAATAAGTTTTTAATATTTTATTATTTTTTACCTTTCACTTTACAGACTCATGTAAATCATATTAAAATCATTAAAAAACAATCTCCGCTCTCTTCTCCTACCTCCTACCCAGCCAACCCTCCCTCCCTACTCAACCCCACCTTTCAGCCACCCCTCTCCCGTCGCCCATCCTTCCCTCAGCCATACTCTTGTACATGTAGTTTGTCAGATTCTCATTGCAGGTCCCAAATCTTGAAATGGGCATTTTTGATTGGATATTGTTAATTTATTTTTACCATTATTTCACACATTTCTAGAAATCATTCAAGTTCAGTCAAGTTTTGAGTTTTATTGATATTATGAGTTTGTAACCCAGGACCTGAAATGGGTTTTTGATATCTGATCTTGGACATTCTGCAAATTTGGAAACAAACAAACCGAAGTTGTGTTTTATCTTTTTTTGCTGTGAGGCTGGTTTTTGTTTAGTGGCGGTGTGTTTGGTTTGGGTATACGTCCATCTTTGCACTGGAGTTTGAAGGAGAAAGGTTCCTGCCCTCAGTGTCCTTGTGATTGTTCAAAAGATTTCGACCCTATACCTGTAGGTGAGATTCACTTTTCAATGTTTGGGAAATTTGGTGTAGGGTTGAGGGTAGGTACATGTACAAGAGTATGGTTGAGGGAAGGATGGGCAACGGGAGAGGGGTGGCTGAAAGGTGAGGTTGAGGAAAGAGGAAGAGAGGGTTGGCTGGGTATGAGGTAGGAGAAGAGTGCGGATATTCTTTTTTAATTTTTTTTTTAATGATTTTAATATGATTTAAATGAGTATGTAAAGTGAAAAGTAAAAAAAAATATTAAAATATTAAAAACTTACTTAATGATGTGGCATAGCTAACTCAACAGCTACATCATCAGTTGGTACACAAATATGGTATAAATAAATGATCTCCTTAGCATTACCCATTATATATTGTGTAAAACGAGCCAAGGAAGGGATAGTGGATGGACGAACCTGGCAATCGGGAGGGTCAATTTCTGCATCTCTTTCTGATTTCTCTGTTTGGATTCTTCTGCATATGTTTTTATTGGTTTCTTCTTCAACAACACCCCCCCCCCTCTCTCTCTCTCTCTCTCTCTCTCTCTCTCCCCCCCAATAATTGTTCGGAACATGGATTGCACCGTAAATTAATTACATTTCATAACATAATCATATATTATATATCGTGTAAAACGAGCCAAAGGAAGTACCCATTGAATAATTTATAAATTAATGTCTGGCAATCGGGAGGGTCAATTTCTGCATCTCTTTCTGATTTCTCTGTCGGATTCTTCTGCATATGTTTTTCTTGGTTTCTTCTCTTCAACAACCCTCTCTCTCTCTCTCTCCTCTCCTCTCTCTCTCTCCTCTCTCTCTCTCCTCCTCCCCCACTCTCTCTCTCTCTCTCTCCCTCCCCCACCCCCACCCCAATAATTGTTCGGAACATGGATTGCACCGTAAATTAATTACATTTCATAACATAATCATATATTATATATTATATATCGTGTAAAACGAGCCAAAGGATAATTTATAAATTAATGTCTGTCAATCGGGAGGGGATGCTTGTTTCACTTTAAATTAAACCAGAGATTGTCTTATCCAATTGGATTTTGAAAACCTAGCTTAGCTTAGCTTTAGCTTTAGCTTCTTCTTGATAATTGATGGAGGGCAAGTGCTGATGCTGCGGTGCTATTGGTCACTTGGCTTAATCTTCCCATTCTCCTCGTCATTGTCCTACTAATCTTCCCATAAAGGAGACATTGTCTTACTAATG